TGACCCAGTCAATGCATGGCAACTGTGAGAGAGAAAATGTTGCAGACACCTTGAGCAGAGCTGGGAGTGGTTTATCTGGACACTCTGCTGAGGAGTGAGCAGAGCAGGTGAGCAGAGAAGCTCATGATGGAGGAAATTTAGACCGGGTGAAATGATCAGGTGCACAGAGATTGGCAACAGGAGAAACCTTTATCTAGTTGAGAGGCTAAAGAGTCCCTTTTCACTGTGAGAAATCTCTGGTAGAGAGCTCTGTCCTGCAGTTGATATTTGACCCTGTTCTTTCCTTGTCACTGAATAAATCTCATTCCCTCTCACACAAAAAGCTCCTCTTTTAGGGAGTTCTGGTGGTCAAGCAGTAAGAAACTGCATTTTAGTATCAAAGGCACATAGTTCAAATCTACCAGCTGCTCCATATGAGAAGGATGGGTAATCTCTTTCTACGCGATTTACTGCCTGAAAACCCGCTGGAGGATTAGCTATGAGAATGACTCGACGGCACACAACAACAACAACAAACCTCTTCTTCAGGTCAAGTTCTCTTATTGCCATCAGCATTTCCTCACAGCACAGGGATCCAGTTCCTCTTGCCAGCCTCACTGCCCTTCCTGTGGACATATTCTAAGAGCTCAATGTTTTAAGAGTTCTTGGTGTTCTTGGAATGTGGTATCGGCAACTGCTCTAGGTGCTTCAGATAGGGTTTGACAAACAAAAGGGACAATAACTGTCATTTATGCACACTGAACACTAACTACATTTGTACTGATGAGGTCACTATTAAACTACTTGGGCAGCCAGGTATGTTTGGGTCCTTTAGTAGTAGCCCTAGCAGTAACACTAAGCGGTCTAGTGTCTTGCTTCACATGAAAAGACCAGTGCCTGCCCTAAGTCACGTCACCTGACAAACCACGGATACTCTGAACCAAGAATCAGCACTTGTCTCAGAGAAAAGCTACTCAGCAGTCCTTGAAAGTATTCAAAATAGCATTTAGGGATTTCCTTAAATTACTTAGGGAATTAGATCTGACTTCTAGGGCTGCTCCGCGGGGTGGAAAACCTGAGAAAAGGGAGGAAAGTATTTGCCCTCTAAGATTCAGTAGCACCTCCTGGCCTCTAGAGCATTTTTTTTTTTTTAAATTTGCTGTGAAGCCAGAATTCCTCCAACTTCATATGATCCTTTCTCTGGAAAAAATTACTGTAAGACAGTAAGTAAATATCCCAAGGAGATAAATACCTTATAGTTAATGGTGGTTACCAAGTATTTCTAGCTCCCCTCCTCCAAGGTATAGTAAGGAGTATTCACTTTTTTTGGTCCCCTTGTGATTGGGTGGGAAAATTAGATTAGTTCTGGTCAACAAGTTAGTGAATGGAAATAAAGGTTTCTACTCTCAGGTGGAATATTTAACTGCAATTGTAAGATCTTCCAGAGAATTCTCTTTTTCTGTTTTTAAGTGACCAACAATATCCCAGATGCTGTTTGCTCTGTCAGCTGGAGCCCTTGAGTTGTTGTTGTTATGTGCCGTCGAGTCGCCTGCGACTCATAGCGACCCTATGTACAACAGCCCTAAACTCCGCTCTGTCCTGTGCCAATCGCACTGTCTCTGACACTCCCATCCCAATTATCCCAGTCACTGAATCAATCCACCTCATAGAGGGCCTTCCTCTCCTGCGCCGTCCCTCCACCCTCCCAAGCATGATGTCCCTCTCTAAGGACCGGTCTCTCCTCACAACATGTCCAAAGTAAGTTAGACGGAGCCTCAGAATCCTTGCCTCCAAGGAGCCACCCGGTTTAACCCTTTCCAGGACAAATCTGTTTGTTTTCCTAGCAGTCCATGGTATTCTCAATACTCTTCTCCAGCACCACAGCTCAAAGGCATCAATTCTCCTTCTATCCTCCTTGGTCACTGTCCAACTCTCTGATGCATAACAGGTGATTGCGAAGACCATGGCCTGTATCAGACACACCTTAGTCTCCAGAGAGATACCACTGCTCTTCACTTTGGAGAGGTCCCTAACAGCAGACTTTCCCATGGCAATGCGCCTTTTAATTTCCTGGCTGCTGGTGCCAAGACTGTTGACTATGGAGCTAAGCAAACTAAAGCTGTGTACAATCTCAATCTCTTCACCATCCATCCTGATGCTGCCAATTGGTCCAGTGGTGAGAATCTTTGTCTTCTTGACATTGAGCCTCAATCCATATTGTAGGCTGCAGTCCTTGACACTCTGCAGCAGGCGCTTCAGGTCCTCCTCAGTTCCAGCAAGCAGGGTTGTGTCATCCGCATAACGCAGATTGTTGATAATTCGTCCACCAATCTTGACCCCACACATCTCCTCATAGAGCCCAGCCTCCCGGATAATCTGGTCTGCATATAGGTTGAAAAGGTATGGAGATAGGATGCATCCCTGGCGTACGCCCTTCCCAATTTTGAACCATGCAGTGTTCCCTTGCTCTGTTCTGACGACTGCCTCCTGGTCCAAGTATAAGTTTCGCATTAGAACGATCAAGTGTTCTGGGATTCCCATTCTTCTCAGAGTCAGCCACAGTTTGTTATGATCTACACAGTCAAATGCCTTTGCATAGTCAATGAAGCACAGATAGACATTCCTCTGGTATTCCCTGCTTTCAGCCAAGATCCATCTAACATCAGCTACAATATCTCTAGTACCACGACCCCTTCTGAAACCAGCCTGAGCCCTTGAGAGCCTATGATAAACAAAGCACCCCTTGCTGGTCTGAGATGGACATGCAGCATAAGATAGAAATAAATCTTCATTGTTTTAAATCACTGACATTTGGTATTATTTGTTATCACAGCACAATCAAATTTATCTCACCTGATACAAAGACAATTGTATATTGAGTAGAACCTTAGAAACCAGTTGGTCCAATGTTTTTATTTCAAAAGTGGAAACTAAAGTTTCATGAAGTGCTGGCTCAGAGTGACTCACAGTCATTGAGTGGATGAGCAGGGATCAGAACTCAGGTCTTTTCTGTCCCAGGGAGTTAGGTGTTCTTAGTGAAGACAAAGATAGTGTTTGCCACTAGGTGGGACCTGCCACACTGAATAAAATCTTAAGAAACTTTAGTCAATTTTCTGACAAAAGATGATGCTGGAAAGAGCACAAGTCTGAGAATCAGAAATGAGGTTTCTCACTGAACCTATGACATGACCTTGTGCTCAATTCTATTACTTTCAGTTTTGAAGTGATTTACTCCGAGACCAAAGGGAAGTCATATCCCACTTCTGGGCTCCAGTGTTCCCTAGTCAGTTGGCTAAGGGTTCAGTGATATAATACACGTGCCCTATAATAGAGTCCCCTTAGAGGCTACTCTAAGGGGGGAAAACGGGCCAAGTGGACAAAGGTGCTTGTTCTTCTCCTCTTAGACCAGAACTGTTCTATTCTCACCTGATTTATTTATGTTTTGGTAAACTTTCCAATGACTAAACTTGATTA